AGGACTTGCCAGCGGGCGACAAGGTACTGCTGGCTGATTGCTCGTGCGCGTGCTGCGAGGCGACTGAGCGATGCATGCACTACCTATGCTCGCTACACGCTGCGGGTACTGACTGCGTGCTGCCGATCGTGACTGGCGTGCGCTACGTGCGCCCACTCACACGGCTGTTGGCGGCATGTTATTAGGCGCTGCGGCACGTCTATGCGTGACGCCCGACTTGGCACACGCAAGCCATCCGCACGCCTCACTTGACTGCTGGGGCACTGCACCCGCTACATGCGGGCAGGGCAACTACGGCCGGCCCTTGCCGTCCGTCCGGCGACTTCTTCTGGCAAACTCGACTTATATCAACATAACATGATATAAAATGACCGAAAACACATAAATGGCTCGGGAGTGTTTTGCTAGAAATAAAGGTGGCTCGGAAAGGACTATATGGCACGTCCGAGTACTAAATGACACTTCTAATGAACCGAACCTCATGATTTGGACATGGCCTACTTGAATTGATCATATAAACATTAAAAGAGGCTCATAATAAAATTACCCCTTCGATCGCACGTGACACTGACCTCGAATTCTCGCTCGGAGTTTATAGGTGCGTGCTTGAGTTCCTCTCTGCAAAGGCTTAAGCAAGCTAACTTCTTCTTAATATTAATAAACTCTCGGTTATTACTCTTAAACCTTGGCTTATGCTCGGTTTTGACAAGATGAAATGTCAAGCTTTATATATATCAAACTCTCGGCTTTAGCTCTCGGCACTTTCTTTTTCAAGCTCTTAAAAGAGGACTTCTAAGTGGAATAGGTAAATAAAACCCTTCTCTCCACTTGAGACTTGATTTTATATTAGCTCAGGCGGTGGATGCTACTTGATCGTAAGCTTTGATTTAGTAGAGACATGTGTCCATTAAAATGAACTTAAGCAACTAGCTTAGTCATCAAAATATGTGTCATGATTTCCAAAACATAGTCACGGTACAAAACTTCCAAAGAAATAATATAAAGACTTTGGTAAGGTTTTATGCAAGGCTCGTTAGAATTTGTTTTTTTTACCACAACCTTAAACTCGACAATGACTATGCTAAGTGTGTCGGTGCTCATGCATGCTTGTTAAGCCATGCGATTTATCTTACCATTACATATAAAATTGAACTCGAATCAACTCTTAGAAAGTTGCTAATAAAATAATACAAGACCCGACTAAGACTTGAGTCGCCATTAAAGCATGATTTGACCGAACTTATTCGGTTTCGGTCGTGGCTTGACTTCGACGATTAATCTGAATATTTTGATTCTGAATAACACGTCGACTTAAAATAATTAATCCCAACTATTAATATTCGTTTATAAAAATAAATGTTTCAGAATTACTTACTGGAATTAATTCGATAACTGAATATAAATAAAATCGAATCGACTATGACTTAAGGTCGAACTTATATCTACATGATTTACTAACTGGCTCGAAACTCATCTTTGACGATTTATCGAATATTCTTGAATTCGATTAATACGTCAATACTAGAATAATTAATTTCGAACTTACTAATGTCTATTTATTGAATAAACAGACCGAGATTAATTACTATAATTGACTCTGTTAATAAATAAAATTAACTGAATATACTTTCGACTTAACGTCGAACTTGGAACTGAACTAGATGAATAACTTAGGCTCGAATACTAATACTGAGCATTTATTAATAAAGGCTAGCTTATATTCGGAAGCTAGTATTTTTCCTTTATTAATAAAAGACGGGGCGTTATAAGGTTACTCATAATCAGAAATTATATTTATATATATTATAAGTAGATTATTTTTTAAATATAAGGATGTTCATGCCAAAATTACAAAAAAGTAACTAAATAAAATGGCATGTCAAATAAAACGAATAATGATTGATTAAACAAATAAAATGAATATATAGATGTAACCTACTGTACTGAATTTCAATAGTTGTGGAGAAATTTTAAGGCTAAATTACAAAAACTAGTCACTAACTTAGATGGGTTGGCAATTTTAGCCACCTTCTTTCATTTTGGCACTTTTAGCCAAAACATTTTAAAAAATCGGTCTTTCTACCCAAATCCAGCCGAAGTCGTCGGAACTCCGCCTGAGAACACCGAAAAGGCTAGCATGGAACTACACTTGGAAAACTTAATCCACCTCAGCTCACCTGTCTATAAATACCCCTTCCACGCGTATCACCCTCACAATTCATCAGAAAAAATTGGGGAAAAATCGGGTCCAAATTCAGAACCCTAAAATCGCGCACAAAAAACCCTAATGCAAATCGGAGAAGAACCCTAGAGATTAAGACGACGATTTCATGACATCCTCAATATACTTGCGAAGCAGTAGGAAGCCAAACTCTCTTCCTCCTCCGTACAGTAAGATTTCTTAAATTTCCGTACAAGTTGTGTTCAATAATTTGCGAAAGTATAACACTATTATCAAGATAGTTGAAGTTCTTTATAATTTATTTTTTAGTGACAATATAACACTATTATCAAGATTGTTTGTTTAAAATTATAGAATTGAATTGGTGGTCCTTTTGTGTGGTTTTATGTTTGGCTTTATACAGACATGTGCGGACATAACACATGTATTTTATTCATATGAAAAGTTGTTATAGTTGCTGATGAAAATTTATTATTATTGTTTTTAATCACAGCTCGTGAGAGTGGTCAAATCAGTGTTGTTGTGTACTATGGAGGTCAATTTGTCACTGAACCTAGTGCTTACTATAAGGGTGGTGATTCAATTATCTTTGACTATGTTAATAGTAACGGAATGAACTTAGAAACCCTGCATAGTTTAACTAATGAGACTGTTGGAAAAGGAAAAAGGAGGAAACATTATGTGTTGTGTGGCAGCTTTCAGAGAGTTTTCACTGATCAAGATGCTAGGACTTGGTTTATTACTCATCTACGTCTTAAGGAGATAGAGATTTATGTGGATGTGATAGGAACTGATGAATTAGTTGTTGATGAATACTCTCTTGATTCTGATTACAATGTGAAAACTGAGCAAAGTAATGATGATGATCAGCTGTTTGAGAACAATATTGATCTTAGTGTGGACACAACTGATAAACTGTCAGAAGCATTTGCTGAAAAGGATGGTGGAGAAGAATCTGTTCAAAAAGACTGTAATGAAGCCTCTGTTCAAAGGAACTCTGATGAAGACTCTCCTGATTCTGATTATAATGTAGAAACTGAGCAAAGTGATGATGATGACATGTTTGAGGTATATGTTGATTTTAGTGTGGACACAACAGATAAGCTTTCAGAAGCATTTGTTAAAAAGGATGGTGGAGAAACCTCTGTTCATAAAGAGTGTGATGCAACCTCTGTTCAGAAAGATTGTGATGCAAACTCTGTTCAGAAAGATTGTGATGCAACCTCTGTTCAGAAAGATTGTGATGCAACCTCTGTTCTGAAAGATTGTGATGAAACCTCTGTCCAAAAGAGTTATGGTAAAGACTCTCTTGACTCTGAATACAATGTGGAAACTGAGCAAAGTGATGATGATGAGCAGTTTGAGGATAATGTCGATCACGGTGTAGACACAACAAATCAGTTGTCAGAAGCATCCTGTTTAATGGAAGTGGACAATGATGAGGAATTGTTCAAGCTTATTGAAGATTTTTCTGGAGTGTCATCAGTTCATCTGTCAACTACAAATGATGTTGCAGAAGAGTGTGACCATAATGAAGCCCCAGTGTCATCAATTCATCTGTCAACTGAGAATGATTGTGATGAGGACTCCATGGATTCTGAGTACAATGTGGAAGATGATCACATTGATGATGATGATCATCATCTGTATCAGAATTTTGTTCATCATAATGTGCAAAGTTCAATTCTTGGTTCAAGAGAAGAAAGTGGTAGCAGTGAAGAAGATGTGGTCCATAATGGGGATGACATAGATGATCATACTGCCAATATTGAGGAGGGAGAACAGATGCTTGTATTCAATCCTGCCACTATCTTCAATCCTATCTTTGAGCTTGGATGCTATTCAGTAGCAAAAAAGAATTTAAGAAAGTTGTCCAAAGTTATGCCATTAAGAGTCACAGAGGTGTGAAGATATGTAGAAGTGATTCTACAAGGTTGTATGTTACATGTGTTGCAACCGACTGTCTATGGAAGGTGCATCTAATAAAGAAGAAGAATGAAGAAACTTGGTTCATCAAGGAATTCTTTGTGAACATTCTTGTCCATCTAATTTTCAGGTCAGAAATGTGAACTCATCTTAACACTCACTTAAATTTTTATAAAGAAATGTGAACTCACTTATATGAACATGTTTTTTCTTAACACTTAAATCTGCTACTTAAGTTTTTTCTCAACACTTAAAGGGTCATGGTAGTTAACTTTTTTTTAACACTTATATATGGTACTTATTTTTGTCCATCCACCTTGTAGGTGAAAAATGTGAAGTCCTCTTGATTGTGTGACAGATACTTGAAAGAATTTAAGGCAGACCCCAAGAGAAGTTGAAAAGGTTTCAAGACAAGCACTATTGAAGAACTAAGGTGTCACATTTCTAAGGATCAAGCATATAGAACTAAGAGAAGAGCACTGAAAATTCTGCAAAGCTCTGCAGAAGGACAATATTCTAAGTTGTGGGAATATTTTGAGGAACTCAGAAGATCAAACCTTGGGTCTACTATCATTTTAGGCACTGAGGCTGATCAAGATAGAAATTCTAGGTTCAACAGGTTGTACATTTGTTTTGCTGCAATGAAGAAAGGGTATAGAGATGGGTGCAGACCAATAATGGGGATTGATGGATGTCATTTGAAGGGCCCACACAGGGGTATATTGTTGGTTGTTGTGGGTGTTGATTAGAGACGTTAAATGGTCCTTGGCCCGACGGGCCAACCCGTTTAGCCCAGAAAAAAATAGGTGTTAGGTCCTTTTATTAATAGTCCGTTTAAATCAGGGCTTTTTAGGCCCAGACCGTTTAGCCCGAAGCCCACTAGGGCTAGCCCAAAACTCGCCAGGACTGACCCGTTTAACTAGGATTTGACGGTGTAAATGTTTGCATCAAGTATGTAATATGATCTTAAATTACTTTTATATTACTATTTTGGTATTTTTCTTCACATGTAAGTATGAGTTGTAATGAATTATTATAATTTTGAAAGATAATTATTAAAAATATTGTTATTGTACTTCATACCAAATATTTAAGTCAATCAGAACGACAAATAGAAAACACATGAAACATAGTGATATACGATAAATACTAAATAGCCGTTGAAAATAATTTTTAACTAGCCGTTGTTATTTTTTTATATATTTTTTACTCTTTTTATTTTTGATTTCTTTTATATATTATTATTAGTATTATTATTATTATTAATATTATAGCCTGCATAGCCTGTTTAGCCCGAAGCCTGCTAGGGTTAGGGTTAGGTCCCTTTTTTGGTAGCCCGTTTAAATCCGGGCTTTTTAGGCCCGAATCGTTTAACTCGAAGCCCCCTAAGGCTAGCCCGAAACCGCTAGGGCTAGCCCGTTTAACATCTCTAGTGTTGATCTTAATAATAAGTGGTTCCATTTTGCCTATGCTGTAGTGAGTAGTGAGTGCACAGAGACATGGTCATGGTTCTTGACAATTATAAAGAATGACTTAGCATTGCAGGACACCAGTGGTTTCACCCTAAGGTCTGACAAACAGAAGAGGATTATTCAAGCTTCAGCTGAAATATTCCCTCAAGCTGATCACAGATTTTGTGTCAAGCACCTTTGCAATAACTTCAAAATAGCCGGTTATAGGGGTTTGGCATTCACAAATGCCTTATGGGCTGCTGCAATGTCCACAACTAAGTCTGGATTCACAAGTAGAATGGCAGAGCTTAAGGAGATGAGCCCAGATGCATGGGAATGGCTCTCTAAAAAACCACCAGAGCAGTGGTCCAAATCACATTTCAAGGATGATCCCAAATGTGATATGCTATTGAATAACTCTTGTGAAACCTTTAACTCTTATATTCTGGAGGCCAGAGAGGAACCTATTATCACAATGCTAGAGTGGATTAGAGAATATATAATGAAAAGAATGCAAGAGAATAGAGATAGAGCCGCAAGAAAGTGGAAGAATAGATTGTGTCCAAGAATAATGGAGCTTCTGGAGCTACACGGTAAGGCAGTGGATGATTGCATTCCAGTGAAGGCTGATGACATACACTTTGAGATAAAGTGTAACAATGGAACATAATACTCTGTCAACTTAAAGGATAAAATTTGTTCATGTAGGTCTTGGGATTGTCTGGAATTCCATGCAGCCATGCTTTGAGTGCCATCTATTTTCAAAGAGATAATGTTGAGGACTATGTAGATGAATGCTACACGGTGTCTAAGTATATGGCTACTTATGGGAACACCCTGTATCCAATTAATGGCACTGAACTTTAGGAGGATAACAATTTCATACCACCACTGCCATCAAACTTTTGAAGGCGTGCAGGGAGACCTTCTAAGGCCAGGAGAAGGGAGAGTGATGAGATGGTTGGGAAAAATAAGAAGAAAAAAGGAACTTCATCTTCTACAAAGGTGAAGAGGCAATAAAGTAAGGTGAAATGCAGCAGATGTGGTGGTGAAGGCCATAATGCAGCCACATGTTCAACTACCACTAACTATCCTCCACCAGTAACCACTAACCAACCTCCACCAGTACAAAAATTGCAGGTAATTAATTTAAATATATATACTGCTACTGCTACTGACTTGTGGGTGCAATTACTAAGTTATTGTGATGTGTGTTTTAATTTCAAGTAAAAAGGAACAGTGGTCCATCCCTTAGAAACCTAGCAAGTACTATGAACCCAACTTTGTTTCCACCACTGTCAAATTCAACAGAAGATGCAAGTATTGTGATGGAAGAAGTTCCTACACAACAGTCCCAGACACCTTTGATGGACAAAATGCAAAGATCAACTCTTGGACCATCCATGTATGATCAGCTACTCAGGGGAAATATTCTGCAGCCTACAAGAGCCACACATGGAGTTCAAATCAGAGGGCCTCCTACATTTACTTGAGAGAGGCCTGTTTTTTCTGTGGGAAGCAGCATTACCACAGCTCATAACAAGGTTGTAGTTGATAAGGGGAAAAAGTTCTTGGTACTTAACCAAAAGGGTCATGGCAATGACAAATGATTTTGGGTCTGTTGAACTAGGTTGATAATGGGTTGTTAGATATTTTGTAATGGTTTTTGTTGAACTCTAAACTGCTTAAGAAATCTTTTGAAGTCTGAAATTGTGATATGGTAGTTATTGTGTTGGATTTTGTAATGGATTTGTTATGGGTTTTGATATGGGTTCTAAGGAATTATGATATGCATTTATTATGGTTTTTTGATATGGATTTTGTGATATGGTAATGAATTTGTTATGGTTTTTACATGACTTGTAATGAGTTTGTGTAGTGTATGGTTTGCATGATTTTGTGCAGGACTTGTGGGAATATGTGTAGGATTTGGTATTGATTTTGTTATGGTTTTTATATGAGTTGTAATGGCTTTGTGCAGTGGCTTATAAGGAATCTGTGCAGTGGCTTATAAGAAAGTTATGTCCTTTTTTGTGCAGGAATTATGTGTTGATTTGGTATTGAATTTGTGTTGATTGTAAGTGGCTTGTGTATTTTTAGGAACAAAGTAACAGATAATGACTATGGTTAACAAACTAAAAGGTAAATACAACACATACTTATAATCACAAAATGTTGATGCCATTGCAAAGCTGTCTGAGAGCCACAATGTCAATAACATTACAAATATGCATCAACCTAATATCAATAATATCCAAATACAACAATGTCAATAACATTAAAAATAAGCATCAACCTAATATCAGTTATTCATTAACTGT